CTAAGGGATATCTTCAACTTAGTGTAGAGTGCTGAAAGATCCGTCCCGGGGCTACGACAATATTAGAGCAACGTTACTGCTAGTAAAAAGTGCACTGGGCACCAAAAATCAGGCGTTCATATTTGAATAAGATGATCAAATGTTGTATCTTAACCCGAGCGGATGACTCAGAAAACGAAGCCCAACCTATGTGGCACTTCGCAGGAAAGTTTGCTGTTAGCAAAGATCAAAGAGTCAATGCGTCGAAGCAGATGTTTAGCAAGCGCATCGGCGCAGCGAACGAAACTAACATCGACTTTTGCTCACGAGAATCTCAAAGCGCAACACGCCATCGGGCACGCCACCATGGGCTAACTTGTGGAATGGACATTTAACGGCGTTAGACGAGCTGTACGAACTCACTGAACTGCCAGAAGACTCATATGTAAGGAACAGTTCCTTGATTACTCATGACCAATCTTGATGTTTGTATGTTTGTATTGCAATCAGTGCCCATGCGTTTCGGAACACCTCTTCCTTGATGAACGTAAGAAATTGTTTAAAAAGGCGCCTGTCGAGAGGCTATCAACAAACTCGGTGAAATGCTTTAAGACATGTGTCGGCCAGATGTACGTGTTTTATCCATTCTTGAATAAAAGTACGGAATGTACGGAATGCACCAGATGGCTTTGGTATCCAAGAACGTTCCCGCGTTCCTGTCGTTGTCACAAGCGTTCTTTAGGCAATAAATTCTTCCTATTATGTACTGCCTCTGCTTGGTGAAAACATAGGTAAATTCGATCAAGAGGCTTACATGGAAAGTTCGTTTGGTCGAAGTGGCCTTTTTATGTGATTTGTGCCATTTTTAAAAGCAATGAAAGATGGTTCCAAATTTGTCTTCATTATCTGCCAAACCTTTCTGGATGCCGAGTTATGAGCGTCTCTGGAGGTGAAGAAATGAATGCGCAACTCAAAAAAAATTCGTCCAGAATTGCTCAAATAGTCAGATTATCGGAGGCCCACTTCATTTGATAGATAACTTCTGTGTACTACATTCATGCACTAGGCTGTTCTACTTAAAGGCAGTGGATCGGCAAAATCCAACAACTCAGGATTTTAACGCGGTAGGTTCCTTATCGCTCAAGTATGAAAACAATGCAATCCCGGTTGCACAGCATGCTTTCCCTGCCGAGAAAATCGCTCCCAAACTTACACGCGCAGGCCAATCTAACACGCATCTGGACGAGTTGGCAGTTTCCTTCTCACCATTGGAGGCTGCCCGCCGCAACGCTATAACCATTGGGTCCTGCAACGATTTAGCGTCATCGGCCTGGCTCCACTCGTCCAATTTCAAGGGAAGGGCATTGAAAAACGCTTATTTTCGCCGGGGATCAGCGTATTCAAAAACCTCAGGTAAGCGCAAATTTGACTAGATTGAGATTTGCCGAGCCACTGCTTTAAGCGCTGGAAAGACTGTAACGGTTGCATTTACCTAGAACCTGCGTTCATTTTTTGCACCAAAAAACATTTATAATTCGGCGTCCTGAGGCGCTTTGCAGGAAATGAAAACAGATTTGGAATCAGAGTGACTCTTCAAAGCGGTATAGGATCATTCAAAGAGACCACTTCAACTAAAGGGGCCTCCTCGTGCATGTTGCAATCTTGACAAATGACGAAGGACACCATCTTCATCCCTTATTAGTTGTTTGTTACAAACTTTTTTTAGAGTCCGTGGAAAGCGAAATTTACGAATTCGTGAAAACAGAAGCGTCGAGCGCGGACATGTCCTGTCCTGCTCTTTGACATGTGCACACGTGCCAAATCGAGAAAGTAGTTGCGAACTGTGTCGAATCGAATCGTATTAGTGTTGTTTTTTTTTCAACGCATGTTGCCAATTTGCAGAGGTACATATTTCTGAACAATGTCCTTAAAGCAATATCGAGTTTAAAGAAACGCGAAGGTCAGCGACGGAGTCGGTACGTGATATCAATTTTTCGATTGCGATGGTTTCTACACGTAGTTCGTGGCAAGATCGAATTTATGCTTCATCTTACATAAATCTCAAATTTTGCAATAATTGCCCGTCATTAACCCATTGCGGTCCCCGGACCCAATGACGACCAGTAATCTCATTTGCTGTGAGACCTGTGGTGCCAGCTCAGCGAATGAAGAATGCTTCAAAATGTACAAATCGTACCAAAATAACTTGCTTTTCAAAGTGACTCTATACTTTGGGTATTCTCGCGTTGATTTGCAACGAAAACGGGAATTCGATGTAGTGTTTTAATCCAATGCAAATACAAAGCTATTTCGCTATCGCGACAATATTTATCGTTTTCGCCTCTGACAGCTTACAATTTGTTGGTAGCAATGCTAGGAGAATGACTGACTGACTCAGAACATTGATGTTCATGTTTTGAATTTGAGCACAAGTTGCCACTGGTGATTTACTGGCATCTGTATATAACCATAAGCAAACATTCGCCTGGCATCATTTGCGGAAATAATCATTTGCGGGATTTCCACCAAAGCTCCATCTATCTTCGCACTTTGCTCATTCCATTTTCTAGACAACTGGATGGTACAAGGTCGGGTCAGGCGAATGCAACGGTGAACGCTTTCCATAGATAACTTCATTCCTGCTACCTATTCCTATTTTTTCCTACAGTGGACCGGTTATGTCAAGTGGATCATACAAGGAATTGACGGAGCTAACCATTTCACGTCTAGTCAAATGCTATTTGCAGGAAAAGTGACATGTACCGTAATACGCTCTTTTACAGTGTCACTCACTTAAGCAATGCTGATTATTGGTCATGGCTGGGAATTGCTTGAGTCACACTATCTGGGGCGGTATTTATCAATTTCCCGCTCGCTGTTCGGGCGCGTTGCACCGTTATACACAGCCCGGGCAGGCGACAGTTTCAACCCGTGATTTGGTTATCTGGGCTCGAACGGGCAGCAGAGATCTATCGAGATCGGGCCCGCCGTGCCCGCCATAGCCAAACTTGCCAGATCGGACCCTTGAGCCCATGGAATCCTAAAGTGAGGACCAAACAAAATGGCAGTAATGGGAAATTGTGATGATTACTGCGATCCAGTCCAGCCTTCTATTTTATACAGTTTGATACGTATTGTTTTCATGAGCCAAGACTTTATGTTAACTATGCACATTTCGCAATTCTAACTCATCCCACTGCTATGAATAGTCCTTTTCTAAGAAAAATATATTCAACTCCTCGATCTAACTTTACTACTGTGGACGTGTTCATCAAAGGTGCATATTTAAACTAAAACTGTGCTCGAGAACCAAAAAAAACAATAAAAAACGATGGGTTTTCATTTGCGATATGCAAACGCGAACGCAAATGCAAACGCGCTGCTGGCATGCTGCTTTCCACAGTAGGTTGCCGAACAGGAATAAGCGATGTATGGGAGATTGATGAATGCCGCCACTGATCTCCAATGCTTTCTTTTCAAAATTTGCCTATAACAGTATGTTGTCAACGTAAATTTGCGTGCAACTTCGGATGCAATTACTGATTCCAGAGATTCTAAGTAAGCTGAGGTTGCCATAGTCAGAATGCTTAAAAGGCAGCTGCTCAATAAATTTCTAGTAAAACAATAATTTGTATTCGTTTTTACTGTGGGTGCTTAGGATCTATAAGCTATAAAAACCTGCAAGACTTTATGGAACGTGCAAAGGCGTGTCTGCGTGAACGCTGCCTCGATGTCGCATATTAAAATGTGTTTACTTGTTCTGATTGCAAGCAATATTTCATGAAAATCTTATCCGTGAAAGAATTTGTAGATTACATCGTACAGAAAAAGCTCGTCTTTCTTCTTTGAAGGAGCATCAAAAACAAATTTTAGTAGTTTTTGTTTTTCTGGGCGCCAAACGCCAGTATGCGGCATATATTACTTGCCAACAGCATCATCTTCTGATTCGTAGATAGTTTCGATTACGTTCTGGTGCTCGTAAACTGTGAGTGTTCTGTTAACCACTACATTTATTCGCCTTTGGCGTGTAAGGTTCCTTTGAAAAGCCGCCAGCCTCGTTTGCGACCCAGTAGTTATCGCTGAGTTCAGCGATATTGTCCTTGAGTGGAAACGGCAAGTGATATAGTTGCTGTTGAACGTAATCGTTTTCGAGTATTTCCTGAAGTACTGTAGAGTACCCTGATCGTTGTCATTCTCAAGAGAAGTGATGCAAATGTTTTCTGACTCTAAAAGTTTTCAAATGTCATCGCTGTCTGAACATTCGCATACTGCTGGCATAGAGTGAATTAGAGCATTCGAATCATTGCTATCATCAAAATGGCTACAATAGACGGTTGGGCCAAACAGTGTTTTTTTATTAGATGCAGACCTGACGGAGTGGAGAAGTAGTAGCGAACAAGGCAGATTAAGAGATGGGGAGTCTGACGTTTTCTCTGATTTTTAAATTTGCTATGCATAATTCACCTTTGTATATAATCATGATCAGTCTCGTAAGCTTGACGGATGGGATCCCTTCATTCATGATTGGCTTTGTTTGTATGGTCATATCTATTTCTTTGCCATACGCCGTGCCATCTCTAGGTAAGTGCTACTAAGTGGCTTTCGAACTTTTCGGTATGTTCAAACGTACTTGACGTGAGGTAAGCTCGGAATTAATGTGTGGCAATTCCGAAAGAGTTTTCCGAAAGAGCTCTCCTATTACTGTTTTTGGGCCCCCGCATCGCAAAACAAATTTTTTTCAAAACTATGCGCTTTGTGGTTCCTACATTCCCTCCAACTGTCCCGAGAACGAGCTGCTCGCTTTTCCCACGAACAGATGGGAGTTACTTTGGATGTTTTGATTGAAGCAAGCGGTTGATTAGCACTTTGCTGCTAGCGTCGTAAATCATTTTCAGAATACGCTTGTCCGTTAGTGGGTTGTGTGTCCCTAACAAGAAATCTGTTGTTGATTTTGGGTGGTTCCACTTTCTGACCGCATCGATGCGTGCGGCTGGTTGAACGCGGAGGGATCCCGATTCCGGATGTCTCGAAGAAAGGCAGATGGACGCATAATATGCGCGTCCGCATCTGGAGCAGTCCGCAGCTTTGCAGCCGCAGCTGGAATGTGAGTTTTGAAAGCATTTCTATCATCTTCGTTGTAAGTAAGAATATCCCGGCGTTTTTGCAGGTCGGCGACCTGCACATAACGGCCTGATGATTTGACTTGCCGCAGAAAATGCAGTCAGGTAAGTTCGGCCTACGACTTTTTCTATGGCCTTTAATTAGTATTGGTGGTACCGAGGCTTATCTCCACACACGCCTTGGCAGAGATCTCCATGTCCAAGGCTTCTAAAGGGTTCTCGACTTTCATAGTATCGGTCTCCGGCTATTCACCGGTATGTCTTTAACTATAAGGAGATATTTGAGGATTGTCTCCATCCACATTTTGAGGATTGTCTTCGTCCACACATAGCGGCCGATACCATATCATTGACGTGTGTTTTATCGATTCGAAACACTTGGCAGCTTTCGACGACCGGTAACCACACGGCGTCCATTTGGCTGGATTCGCCATGGAGCGCCGCTGTCGAGCGGAGCGCGTTATTGGCACGGAACTCAATTCTTTAAATCACTTGCATTGCAAGGGATAGCATCTGATGAAGAATGATCCCAAGAGATTTTGTTTCCCTTTCTGACCCAGGTGCTTCTTTTTGCATAATCACTTATCAAAATCCGTTCTTGCTTATGCACTTATCTGTATCATCAGCTCCCAGATTCGTGTAGAGGTGGAGTTTTGCCAACCCAACGTAAGTGACAGAGAGAGAGAAAGTACGAAAAGCAAGTCATAACGTGGAGGTTTAACAAGTTTAGCTTTGTAATCAGGACACGTCCTCAACCGCCCTACACTCAAATCTGGGAGTTGATCATACTTACTTTTGCGACGATTTCCGCAGTTGGCAGCTCCTCCCAATCACCTTAAGGTCAAATGCAGATTTTGACAACAGGTACGGAAACTGATTATTGTAATGATAATGAATTAAGTGTACGTATTTGTATATGAAACTTATGACGTAACAACAATGGTTGAGATTGAGCCAAAACCCGTACTTGTTCATTCGTTCTCTACTTTGTCTGGTCAGTACCGTTTAAGGACAAGATTGTTGGAAACCTTAACCCTTTGATGTAAGCCTGACAAATGGAGATTATTTACAAGCTTTCCGCTTCTTCACTTTTTGATCATGATTGTTCTAGATTTGCGTTTTCTCCATGTTCTCCACGATCTGCAAAATTCTTACGTGTGTAGAGGAAATCTTTTCTATTGCAGAGCTGTTAAAATAATCACGAAAGCTCAATGCCACCTATGCCGGAAAGGCCCTTATTTGCTAAAGAGCTATGCTCACTTACGAGAAGTGCATCATTCTTCAGAAGATGTTGTAACAGAAGTAAAAAAAGCCATAGCACAAACGAAACTTGCGGGAAAAAGTATGCACAAATGTGACATGTGTGGATCATTCTTTCTTTATCGCAACACCTCAAAAGACATCAAAAGGTGCAGCGCTCTTTCTTTCCTCATTCTAAGTGTGTACATTTCGAGTTCATTTTCGGGGTTCAGGGATGTTGAATGTTTGGCATTACTATCTGGCATACCTGGCTCCGTCCTTTCCTTCAATTGTTACAGAAAAAATTCGGTGTTCCATACTCCTACAAATGACCCTGCCCTGTCTCACTCCCGTATGCTGAATTCCTGTCCCCTCTATGTTTTCGTAATTATACTTACTCACTTGTACCAGCTCCCAGCCTGTAGCTCAAAGTTCGCAGAAAACCAATTAATTCGTCAAAGGTATTCGAGAATTCTAGAAATTAGCATTGCATTCGTAATCAGCATGCTCGCTTACCTTCTGTACCAACTTCCGAGTTTGTAAAAGAAATCCATAAAATCGATATCGATCGATTATGGCAAGTAGGCTAACACATCCGCACCTCTCCGAAATGTATGTTAGCAAAGATTGGCCCGGATCTTTAATCTCGAAAAAGCAAATTAAAATCAGGTAAGAAATTGCGCTCTAATCACTATCCGCGCTCCATGGCGAATCCAGCAAAATGGACGCCGTGCGGTTACCGTTCGTCGCAGATTTCCGCCTTTCTATTCGCGGACTTTGGAACAGTTTTATCACCAAAACATTTGGCTATGTGGTATCGACCATCCCTTCACCATCTCGAATACCTTTGACGAATTAATTGGTTTTCTGATTACCTGTAACCGGCTTGGTGCCTCGAATGGTTTTCTCGCTGCTCCTTAGCAAACTTCTTTGAGATGTACAATTTTTTTAACTTCAGAAATTCTCATTCTCATGGTCGAGCAACTCAAAGACGGCCCAAATCTGGGAATTCTTCCTGGTTACCATCAAACTTTGGTAGGATTATTGATGGCGCTTTTACGGGCAAGAGATTTTCTCACTGACAATGGTTGGACTCATTGCAGATCATACTGGACACTCCTGATTCGTCTCTCCCGAATCCTCCTTCTGACGTTTTGTCCGGAAGACTCACTTGCCACGTCTTCCTCAATAGTTTGACCGGAAGTTTCTATGTGGAACTTATTGCAAATCGCACTGCACTCCCCTGATTCATTGGACAATCTCCTGATACGTCCCCTTGACGTTTTGTTTGGAAGACTCACTTGCCAATCCTCCTGAACATTTTAGGAAGGTTCTAATGGAGAGGAATGTTAGTTTGTAATGCATTTGTTGTAATTTTATTTTTGCGGTAATCTGAATCTTAATCCAGAGGACAAAGTTGGCGGACTCGTCAAGAGAATATTCCAATTTTTTTCGAACACTTCAATCTCTGCAACTTATTCTTTTCGCTCAGTCTTGGATTCGATACCCATGAAAAATAGTTCCATATCATCAACTCTTCTCTCGAGTATACGGTCTTAGCTCATCTAATCAGTTAGTAATATCACGTTTGCTGCGCACTCTTGTCGGTAATAGACCTTTCGTCCGTGTCCAGGAGCTTCGTACGTATCGAAAAGCTCTGCCAATCGACGAACTGGCTAGCTTTTTGTGAAGATATAGAGACATATGGTTATCTGATTCTGACACAAAAAACAACAGCTCCTGCGTTTGGAAAGTGTGGCAAACAAAGGTTTGTGATTTAAGGCTAGTTCAGTCCCAAGGATAACTAGTTCGACCACAAATACGGCGATGGTTTGGCCATTGCACCAAAAATGTGGCGACTTAAGGCTTGTGATGTAGCCTGGTGTACGGGGGCTTATGGTAGGTACTTTTTTATGCAATAAAACACTGGTTTAGTGGTTAGGTCTATCACGATAAATTCACAAGCTGCTCAGATGAGAGCAAAAAAAGCAAATGCGGGCTACACGCCCCGCTTCCGATGCAAGCAGAGGGACCGCCATCGGCAGCAGTTCTGCCATGAAATGAATGTGAAGAGAGGCAGCTGAGGCTGGTATCCATCGAAGAGCTGTATAAGAGATAGACAGAAGCGGCATATTCGGTAGCTTTTGTTCTATAGTATGTCTTTAACAGGATAGTACCGAACGTTTCTAGATGGATAGACGACGTGAGGTCAAGATCCACGAAGTTCCAAGATGTGGGAGCCTCCTCTGAAGCGGCAACCCTCTCGGCTGCTGAAAGCGCATGCGGCCCGAGGACATTTGTCAGACTTCGCTCAAAAGTGCCCAAAAGCGCTCAATTTGTTAATCTCTCTTCACAATTCTCGTCTAACACATGTTCTGCGGTACCGTGCTACGCGGGCTTAAAACAACAAATGCTCGAAAAGCCGTTCAAAGCTCGAAAAAGCAACGCGGAAAAGGTGCCTTCTCACCCTCGCCTCCGCCACAAGAGATCGGCCGTGCGGACCAAATCGCTCAATGCGGACTACTTTAAGCGAGTTTTTCTCAGCTAGGAAGAAGTCAAATCGTATCGGATTTGTTACAATGGCCTAAGGACCCTGTGTATGGATGTGTAGAGATCCGAGCAACCACAAATTTGAGCGACACGGCCGCGCTTTTGAGCGAAGTCTGCCGGGTACCTAAGCGTTTGTTTTTGCGTTTGATGATCCACCAGTCTCGTGATATTTATTCAGAACAATGAAACAGCAAAATTGTATGTACATCATGATCCACTGGAAACTTATGGAAGACGAGACAGAATTTTGAATCGTTAAGTCCTTATATTCGAGCAAAACTCCGAAACACAATAAACGTAACGATGTGTAATGCGGCAATGATACATTGTACAATCAAAGGATAAAGCTTATTATTTTAACATAGGAACATAAAATACATTAGACAACTGATTCCGCAAGGCAGTGGCAAAGTGTGAGCTGGTACTAAATGAGGACCTTTTCGCAACCGTTAGACAAACGTTTGCGTTTTGTACAAGATATAAACAACAACACTTATGTTAGACTGTTATCATTCTTGCGCTCATCTGGCGCTCATCAACGATAGAAGGAAGTACGAAATTCGAGCCGATCAAAGCAAATTTGGTAGAGGGCAATTTTGTTGGCACAGCGCACCATCCATCGGGTCTAGAAATGACTATACAGGATAATGTTCAGCATTATATACCATATTGCAAGCAAAGGGAGTAATCTGCTTTAGTTTTTTTTTTAAAGCAGCGTCCGGCAAGTCTGAACGCATGGGTATCTCACGTGGATAGTAATTTTGGGGCCCTAACTAAGTCACTGCCCAACCGGCAGTCAGGTAGTGCTCTAACGGCTGAGATATTCCCCTCGAAACTAGACCCCGTGCTCAGGGATTCGCGCCGTGCGGGCGGTCCTCATTAAAGATCCTCCGCTTGAGCGGGGTGGCGGTCAAGATGAACGATAGCATGTGCCAGCCGCCAGCTGGGTACTGTACGCGGTGCGCTGATCGCTCCACCCCCTTGTTAATTAGCCTAGGAATGCGGTGCGCTATAGGAAAACTCTCTAATACTTCGTTCATGCTTCTGCAGTTGGTTGCAATTTGGGTAACAGTAGATTTCAAAATTTCAATTAAATTGAAGTTTTCAGATCATTTTTCATTATAGATTAGTTCGCAAGCTCTTTTTAATGTATTTCAATTATTTGTTCCTAGTAGGCTTGTCCAATGATTTTTCATTGCAGGTATGAGAAAATTGTTCCGAAAATGCTTGTTTTGTGTGTGTGTTTTGTGTTGTGTTGTGTTTTTCTCCACTCATATTTGTTACCATATTGAATATGCTTTGTTGTGCACTCTCAAGTTTAGTTCAAAAAGAAGTCAGCTTATCGAGAAATACTATTATTATTGCTCAAATGACCAACACCATTAATTTACAAAACTAAGTTAGTTAGTTAAAACTAAGTAAGTTACGAAACCCTAATCATAGCTAAAAACAGATTTCATTGTGACGAGAATTCAAAACAAGCATTATAGGCGAATTTTGTTTTGAGCAAACTAACTCGTTTTGCAAATATGCGGTCATATCACATAAATTTTCTCGGATTTCAGGACAATCATACTGCACTTATATATTTTCGAACCTGCTTTGAATAACAAAATTCTCATTTGCTTCCAAAAACTGCTATCCTCAATATATATATCGATCTGTAACTCAATCGAAATTGCGTGCGAACTAGTCATAAGATGTGAGGTCACTCAGACAATCATGCCTGAGGTTTTCTAGATTGATTTCACACTTCAAAGTTGGATATCCAGGAATAATATCCACGAAAGTCCATTTAAAAATGGGCTTTTCGCGAATGAAACGCGAATAAAATGGGCTTAGTCCCTGCGGTGCGATAAGATATCGCGTTCGCGAATCCATTCATTCCATACAAAAATGCTTCAGCAAACCTTTCTTCAACTTGCCTCAACCTGTTTACTCACTCTTGTAAACTCATTCCTGCCAAGTGGTCGATATCTAGGCTGATCTAACTTTACTATATCAGTCACGTGGATACTCCGTTCTTTTCCGTTTCATTACACCTCATAGAATGCCATTTATTAACTATGACTATGCATCTAAATTAGTTTCAGTCCATCCAAAATCCAAGTAATATCAGGGCATTCGCTCTTCAAAACTTCTATGAATCTGCATTGAATCAAATTCGTATGTGGAGTTTCCAGCAGAAAGCAAACTTTGGCTAGACTTGCATTGCAATTTGTGAATCAAAATGCTTATCTCACAGAAAACCTTGTACTACACTACAACACAAAGGCTTCTAAGCTGGAAAAACTTTGGATCTGCAAAAAATTGATGGCTTCTCATGTTTAGCAACCCCAAAACTTTCATGCAAATATGGCGTTTGATATATGAAGCTGTTTTTTCTGCATCAACTGTGTGAATTTGAGGGATGGATACTAGAATGATGACAAAGTCACTGAATTCAATTTTGCGTTTAGAACTTATCTAGGCATATACTCTGATCCCAAGTCATATGTGCTTTTGATGATCAAAGTTGCTTAGGGGATGTGCTACGAACAACTGAAGCAAAGCGGACTTATATCCGTCTCAGCATTTAGGAAATGCTTGAACCAATGCCCTTTGCTATTGGCAACCTTATTATAGATTTTGAACATCAAATTAACCGGTTATTGGAAAAACTCTCGCATAATCCAGTATCAATCAGGTAACCTTTTTTCAACCCTAATGTGATGCTCTATTCGAAAATAAAACAGAGTTCGCTTCGACGTTTTGGGTATTGAAAAGTTTTCCGTGACAAAATGACGTATCGAGAAGATTTTCTCTATAAAATGACTTGTTTGATTTTGGTAAATCGCAATTTTTTTAATGTTTCTATACGAGAGCAAGAAGTGACTAATGTATATACTATAGCTAGTAAGAAATTTTTCACAGAATTTTGACTTGCCAGCGGTACTTCAGTACTTCTTGCTACCAAACTCAAAATCGCAATTTTTGAATTGCCGTCTTTGTGTCTGTCTGTCTGTCTGTCTCAACTGTCTACGAAAAAAAGTTTTTCTATGATTTTCAAAGCATTTCAAGGCTGTTTGGAAAAGATAGTTTTTTGGCCCTCCTAAAGAAGATAAAACTTTCTTTGTTCGCTTAGTATCTCAAAATGGGCTAGGGAACATATTCTCAAAAAATCGCAATCAAAAATATGCAAGAAGGTCAAAAATGGGCTTAGTCCCAGCACATCTGGCTGCTGGGAGTAAAATGGGCTTATCAGAAAGGTGTGAGAGAATGAACATGAAGGTAAACTCCATTTTGCCCCATTCTAAAATGGACTTTTGACGTCATCTTCCGCGAGCGATAGCTCAAGTAAGCTTGAATCATTTTCATTCCACCGCTTTGCCTCGCGGTTGCGATGGGATGAAAAATTTTGGATATCGTAAGCGGGAGCCGATTTCGACCACTTTCTAAGTCCATTTTATTCGTTCGCGTTAGAAAGTGGTCGAAATCGGCTCCCGCTTACGATATCCAAAATTTTTCATCCCCTCGCAACCGCGAGGCAAAGCGGTGAAATGAAAATGATTCAAGCTTACTTGAGCTATCGCTCGCGGAAGATGACGTCAAAAGTCCATTTTAGAATGAGGCAAAAGGAGTTCACCTCCATGTTCATTCTCTCTCACCTTTCTGATAAGCCCATTTTACTCCCAGCAGCCAGATGTGCTGGGACTAAGCCCATTTTTGACATTCTTGCATATTTTTGATTGCGATTTTTTGAGAATATGTTCCCTAGCCCATTTTAAGATAGTAAGCGAACGGAGAAAGTTTTATCTTCTTTAGGAGGGCCAAAAAACTATCTTCTCCAAACAGCCTTGAAATGCTTTGAAAATCATAGAAAAAATTTTTTCGTAGACAGTTAAGACAGACAGACAGACAGACAGACACAAAGACGGCAATTCAAAATTCGCGATTTTTAGTTTGGTAGCAAGAAGTACTGAAGTACCGCTAGCAAGTCAGAATATTCTGTGAAAAATTTCTTACTAGCTATAGTCTATACATTAGTCACTTCTTGTTCTCGTATGGAAATATAAAAAAAAATCGCGATTTACCAAAATTAAACAAGTCATTTTATAGAGAAAATCTTCTCGATACGTCATTTTGTCACCGAAAACACTTTTCAATACCCAAAACGTCGAAGCGAACTCTGTTTTATTTTTGAACAGAGCATCACATTAGGGTTGAGAAAAAGAGGTTACCTGATTGATACTGGATTATGCGAGAGCTTTTCCAACAACCGGTTAATTTGAATTCTGTTCAAAATCTATAATAAGGTTGCCAATAGCAAAGGGCATTGGTTCAAGCATTTCCTAAATGCTGAGACGGATATAAGTCCGCTTTGCTTCAGTTGTTCGTAGCACTTCCCCTAAGCAACTTTGATCATCAAAAGCACTATGACTTGGGATCAGAGTATATGCCTAGATAGGTTCTAAACGCAAAATTGAATTCAGTGACTTTGTCATCATTTTAACACCCCTCAAACTCACACAGTTCATGCAAGAAAAACAGCTTCATATATCGAACGCCATATTTGCATAAAAGTTTTGGGGTTGCTAAAGTACAGCATGAGAAGCCATTAATTTTTTGCAGATCCAAAGTTTTTCCAGCTTAGAAGCCTTTGTGTTGTAGTGTAGTACAAGGTTTTCTGTGAGATAAGCATTTTGATTCACAAATTGCAATGCAAGTCTAGCCAAAGTTTGCTTTCTGCTAGAAACTCCACATGCGAATTTGATTCAATGCAGATTCATAGAAGTTTTGAAGAGCGAATGCCCTGATATTACTTGGATTTTAGATGGACTGAAACTACTTTAGATGCATAGTCATAGTTAATAAATGGCATTCTATGAGGTGTAATGAAATGGAAAAGAACGGAGTATCCACGTGACTGATATAGTAAAGTTAGATCAGTCTGGATATCGACCACTTGGTGGGAATAAGTTTGCAAGAGTGAGTAAACAGGTTGAGGCAAATTGAAGAAAGGTTTGCTGAAGCACTTTTGTATGGAATGAATGGATTCGCGAACGCGATAGCTTATCGCACCGCAGGGACTAAGCCCATTTTATTCGCGTTTCATTCGCGAAAAGCCCATTTTTAGATGGACTTTCGTGGATATCATTCCAGGAGTCAGTCGGTCATTCATAGGTAAATCAGCAAATCTATCGAATTTCACGACCAACACATCAGCTATTCATTGATTGCCAAAAAAGAAAAGAAAATCAAAACAAATTCTGTAAACAGTCAAGCTTCACCGCAGCTTGCAACAAGCTTGTATCTCACTATTAAAAGTTATTTTTACTTGACGGTATCGTCCGAGAAACTCGTCCGCCGCAGTAGGGCGGAGCTTCGAGCGAACACGTTATTGCCAGTTCATGACCCCGCGCGCCACTAGTACCAGCTATCGTTCATCTTGACATATACCCGCTTGAGCGCACTGCATAGTTTTTGATGTTCCGTGCGTGCGGTCAACAATAAAAATGCCGTGCAAGCGGAAGACAGTCTACCCGTTCGATCGGCACGCAATAAAATCGACCGTGCAAGCGGCAGGCAATGCGTCCGCACGATCGGCCAGCAATCACTTGATCGTACAAGCGGCAGGCAGTCTCGCCGCGCAATCGGTACGCAATAAAATCGACCGTGCAAGCGGCAGGCAATGTGTCCGTTCGATCGGGCGGCAAACATTTGCCCGTGCAAGCGGCCAACAGTGACCTCTACCTTCGGCTCATTGTTTTCACACACTGTGAGCGTAAACGGTACCTGCATGAGATACGACGCAGCGTTTAGGCTGGCTAAGCGTCGACTATCGTGTTATCAACATTTCCCTTCCCGCAAAGCTGGAATGAACCTGTGTGAAGCTACAGTTATCAAGAGTGATGGTGTGGGCTTCTCCATGGAAAGTTTGGGTAGCGCGGCAAGCATTGGTCCGTGTTCCCAGGATGTGAAAATGCTCAACATACCTAAGAAAATGGTTAAAATACCTCATATAAACCTACTCCAGCAGCAAGCGAGCGGCCGACCTTCTCCGCGCAAGCGGCGAGCATTAAAAACCGTGCGGGCGCCCCACATTAACCGTGCTAACGGCCCTTGACGACCGTACAATCGCACACACCAACGAGCGATTGTAAGTTCGTCGCTGGCCGCCCGCACGGTGCGAGTCCCTGAGTGATCGTATTCGCATGGATTCATGGCAGTTTCCGCGCCAGGATCCACGCTTTGCGCCATGAATCCATGTGAAGTACGATCGCGGGGTCCAGTTTCGAGGGGATTATCTCAGCCGTTAGTGCACTACCTGCGCTGCCGCTTGGGCAGTGCTTTAGTTGGGATCTCAAAAGTACTTTCCACGTAAAATCCCCATAGGTCCAGATCTGCCTGGACGCTGCCTTTAAGTGGTTTTGTTAAAAATTTATGGTCTGAGCACAAAACATATGTTGAATTAGCACTGCCGACCGGAAAAAAAATTGAAATGCGATTTCAAGGAATTAAGTTTTTTGCATACTGATTTTTTTTTTCAAAAACCTGACGCGATAAGCGATATGTAAGAATCAGTGACGGTCCGAGAATTTTTTTGAGGAGAGAACGACAGAATTTTCTTTGAACAAAAAGGCGCTTAGCCACGCTATCCGTAAAATTTTATGAAATGCTTTTTAAAATCTGCTAACCTCAGCCCCTAGATATATTTTTAGAAGAAGTTGATTAGATTTTAAAAAATTATTTTCATTGTATCAAGCAAAAATAAGTCACTTGAGCATTTTTATAACTCATGTAAAACACTTCCGGAAATTCTGCGAAATTTCTCTGGAAGGTCCCGCCCTCCCCCTCAATCTTCTCCCTTCGTGCGCCACTGATAAGAAGCTCTCAGTTCACGTTAAACGGCAAGAAAACACGTCTTGCTAATTATTGAGCTTGCTACAATATGTGCAAGAAATACCTGAAGCAGGCGAAGTCCGGGTTCGTGAAGCACCCTTTGGTGCAGGTGCTCACTCGGCGAGACCAAGTTGCAGGCACTACGACGCGCATCTCACACAGATCTGTAATTTTGGAGATTTACAAGATTCAAAATCACCCTAGTGCCTCTAGATTCACTGACTGGGAGCATTGCTCAGAAATTCGAGCAGATCCCTCTTGTACAGCACATGTGATTCATCCACCTCAAACACGCGCAGCAATGTGAATCTGTCGTTCTCGTGAGCGAAAATAGGAGCGATCAATCCTATATCGTAGCACACAAACAGTTCCCGACAGCGCTAAACATAATGATGGGATTTAATATAGCACCTGGAACTCCCTATTAAGATCGATTTTACCTTAAACTCAGGATACATGTAGATGGACCGGCGCTTGCTTTGGCACATCACCATCATATAAGGGGATACCTTTCGCTTATCGAGAAGGGTAAGTCGGTTGATGGTAACACCGAGATCTATTAACGTCCGCACGTAAGATATGAAAACCTAAAAGCAAGACATCTCAAAGTAAACAATGTTTGCTCGAAGACAAAAGGCAACAGATATTATAGTTTATAGCTGCTCTAATTTGGTGCTGTACCCTAAGTATATTGCTTTTCATTTTCTATAGTTGTGGGAATCCATATGAAATTACTCGCAAAGTAACAAATTTATAGAAATGTGGACCTATGCATTAGGTAGGGAAGCTTTCCTTAGATAGGAGTAGATTCCTGGCTCTCTTTGAAAGCGCTGACTTCCAAAATCAACAAAAGTAAAAGTATTACCTTGTCACGACTTCGACCGTAGTCCGCGGGACCATGATACCCTTGTCCGCTACTAGTATAATCTTCCAGAGTCACGTTCCATACAGCTAAATAACTGACTTTATACCAAGCAAGATTTCAAAGATATTTTTGGCTTACTTTCGTCGTCTGAAACCTCCAACAAGTATCGGACCAGAGATCGAAAACCGCAGGATGTGACAGCGTCGGAATCAGACAACTTTAAGTCAAGGTTGACTTCTTGCAGGCGAGAACAAAGCAACCTAAATCAAGAAATTTGATCTGTTTCCGGAGCATATATACCAAAATTTTGTGGATGTTTTGCAAAAACAAACGTCACGAATTTCGAAAGCCTCCTCGCTTATTAAGGCTTAATGAATTTAGTTTACTGACATGATTATGATAATATTTCCTTCAAAGACTGATTTTACTCAGCCAATGCAACAATGTGCCAGAAAATTACTGCATCGATATTATTGAAAAAGTTTTCTGACGTCAAAATGGAGATAGAGAAAACAAGCGACAAAGTAGATGTAACATTAGCAGTGGTGCTACCAAGGACAAAATTTCCTGATGACCACAGAGCTGCTCTTTTGCTGTAAAACGCCGGAGGATTATTTGCATTTACTTACCTTGGCAACAAAACTGCCAGAAGCAGAGACTAACATCAGCTGCTGACCATATGTTCAAATTTATTAAAAAAAACTTATAATTATATAGATAGCCCAACAGCGCAACGCACTTGCAGACTTTCATATCATCAAATATGTGCGCGGTATTCAGTTGTCCCCATTCCTCCCCGATTTGCACTGATATCCTCTCTAACGCTGGCATGGCTATTTGCGAGTGGGTTTCGGGCATCTCTTCCAGGATAAGGTGCACTAAAATATTTATTCCTCCGTGTATGACACAGATTAAGCGAACTCAGCTCAGTTGCCTAAATGCAATGAAAAATAAGAAAAAAAACGAACTTTGCGTGAAAAGTGCCACAGGGATTTCGAGATCTCGTATGTAGCAAAAGTAGCGTGCAAGTATCAACCGTACCAAATTCCGATAAGGACGACATAACTGCTTTCCTAAAAAGTTTCTTTTTCGCATTGGCCAGATACAGAAAGATTACTGGAAAAATACAGATAAAAACTTTCTTTATGTACTATAAAAAGATAAAATCACAATAGAGGAAGTTTCGCTAGGCTGGAAGATAATTTGCAAACCCAGCGAAACGTAAATTAAAAAAACGTAAAAACGTAAATACTCATTATTTTTTGATGACCGGTCAAATACACACATCTTTTTGTATTGCTTCAAATACTTGACATACGACAATACCGCCAAGTTTTTACTATCGAGTAAGCTTTTTTCGCATTGTCGCATAAAAGGCTAGATCATCGGGCAATAGAAGAGATTTTTTTCTAAAAAGGGCCGATAGAAGTTCGCTCGAAAATATGAAAAATAAATCGGCAACCTTACAAACTTTCTTCGTTCTATAAACGCACAATTCTAACGAAGGCCAATTTGATTTGAGAACTTCACTATTTGCAAATGAGAATCATCTGCACAATTTTAGAAATTATGTACTTCCATTCAAAAGATAGCGAACAAAGGAGTATGGATTTTGAACCTTATAAAGCACAGCTTAATAGACCAGCCACGGCCACCAAACAAGTTTTTGAACTATTCATCAGACTGAAAAAAGATTTTGAGATGGTCCCTTTTTATAATGGAATTCAAACATTATGATTATTTGCCGTATACCAAAACACAGTAGAACCTTATGTTATGAAGGTATGGTTTCTTATTTTTGCTAACATTATTTGATCCATTCCCACACTCATGTAAAAAATGTGAACGATTGAACAGCGATAGGATATCGATGAAGACGATGTCTGAGAAAACCGTAACGGACATGAGGCAGAGAAAAACTAGACTTCGAGTTCCTTATACTCATCCAGAAATAAGTCTTACCAACGAGAAGATGAGGTTGTAGAAGTCGCCAAATGAAGTCCTCGCATATTTTTATTGATGTACAACTTTTCAGGTGGTCCGTGACAATTCGATCGAAACCACTATTGATGCCGATCCAGCCAAGCGCGACCAGCTGAATAGTCAAAATCACGAATCATTGCGAAAAGCTTTTTACGTATAATAAGAGATTTCAGATGAAGCTTAAACGTAAATCAAAACAGCGTTGATTTTACGCGCAGCGCCAACATCTGATTTACAAAACATCGTTAGAATTTAATCAACATAACAAACTAATCAACATCCACAAAATCCAACTGGGATATTCCTTGGACTTGCTATTTTTGATTTTTAATGACTGACAAAGGCTTCTTCAAATTAAAGGAAACTACAAAGACTATAATTGGGTACCTCAGTTGGAGAAACGCTGGAAACAATGCGGGTGATTATTTCGTCAGGTAGATAAGCCTGATGGTTGTCATCCGAACTGCCAGGTATACACCGTAGGACCGGTAGACGTGGGCACATTTGTGACAGAACAGAACTGAAGAAAAAGTAGGTTTGCAATGCACACTGAGGAAAGCATGGCTGCTTGATGCAAGATATTCGGCTATTGACTAGGACACCATGTAGGCTTCAGATCTTTGAATCATCTGAGTGCAGGTTAAGAAAGTCAAAAATGGAGGAAAAAGGAGGATCAAAAAGTCTCAAAAAATATGCCTTTGTCACCGTTCAATCATTGATATCTCTCTAACTCAAAGTTTCTAGCCAGTATAGGTATAAAAGGTGTGGCCTTATTTTGGATTTGTGGTATCTTCATTACCGTAGGAACAGATTCTGAGAATAAGTTAGGTTCACGGAGTCAAAAGCGAAATCTTGCTCCAAAAAGCAATAAACGTCTGAAAACTTCGTCAGTGGCCAAAGCTACTGATATCAGAAGGAACGTCTTAATTTCTTGTTAGATGTATACAAAAACCTATATTGAAATCTTACTACAGAACTTTTAAAATTTCTAGGAATATTCCATGGCAGGTTAGTCATGATGTCCACAATATGCAAGAGGCTTCCTTCATAAGCAAATCTAACTTGGAGCCAGTTCCAGTTATGATATTTCAGAGACTACTGAAGATGTTGAGGCAAACCTTAAACGATTGAGTGGTATAGTATTTATTCTTGTTCTATAACTATGCTTGTTACATAAGTCTTGTTACACTCTAATTTCTTACGGCGTAAAGCCATGCACTTCATAATATCAATAGGGCTCCAGGGTACCCTTCGAATAGAGCAAATCAAGCTCTACAGAAAGGTGTGCAAAGATTCGCACCAGCTTCGACTACCGTAAGTTTGCAACCAGAATCCTCGTAGTGAAGGCTCAAAAATAGAAAATTCATATCTTCGCCCAAAAAATTCCTACCACTCCAACCTGCTTTCACAAATTGCACACCACATCAGACACTCATATGTGCCGTTCCTGTATTTTTTTTTTGATATGGAAATCGAGAAAACAATAATTTTCACGCCCATAAGAGCGAAGCAACGCTGTTCCCATTTATGTAAATGCATATGACAAGCCTAGAAGTAAAACTGTAAATTTCCAGCTTTCCACACGCCCTGGTTTTCGAGAAATAATGATTTTAGCTCTCCTCACTCGGGTGTTCCATGCTATTAATATGCCTTTAAATCTAACTAGGTTGTACATTGACGAAAAAATTACATGAGAAATGGTTTTTTTTGTTGCGAAGAGATCATACAATAATAGAAATCGATATGTTGTTGACAGCATGACAACAACTATACAGACTGTGAATGGAAACAAATGAAGTGAAAAACACATGCAACTGCAGGAAATTAGCTTATTATTTGAGCAAATGAAGATGACCAAAAAGAGAAATTTATTTTTTTCTGGAGACTGCGAGCAAAAGGCATCAAAAATACTTCCAGATACAGTAGTTGCAAACATCAAGTGAGCAGTGAATAAGGGGGCGATAGTGAAACATCGTAGAACAGCGGCATCGGCGTGAACAGATGATCATTCCTACCCCACGCTCGATCGCAGAGAGCGGTAAACATGCGCTGGAGGTCACGAGAGTGCGAGCGGCACATCCACCACTGATCACAGTGCAGCCACGACAACATCGTCGTCGTGCATGCCAAGCAAACAAAATCTGCAGTGTAGGTGGAAGTCGCAAAATTTAGAGCAAAATTTTGTAGGAGAAAGTGCTGTGCTTGTACACATTATCCTGATAGATTACAAGGACGACGCACTTGTATACTGCTTTTCCAACTAATAAATCGAGGAAGCCCGGTAGTTGGACTCGGCGTTAAAAGCAGTGCCCAGGGAATGTTGAGGGTAAGGTCGGGCAGGTATGGCACGCGACCCCCAGCCCCCAGATATGACACCTGCCCGCATGAACTGTGTTTGAGTAAGACCCTTGTGACTTACCTTGAACCTACTGTAAGCATGAGAAGGAAAGCCTATCGAACTATGGGTCAAATAATCCCTAGTGACCAAGTTCATCGGATTCTGAAGTTTCAAATATTGACCCACCGATGTGGAATGGTCCGTCTCAAACGAGTTGACTTTGTCTCAAAGGTGAGTTAGCTACCCTTCTTTGCACTCAGTACAAAGCACTGCTCCTTATCACTCGAATCACAAATTCCACGTAAAGAGGCCCAAAACCTCATTTATGGTTATTGGTTAAAGGCAGTGGATCAGCAGAATGGACCTCTATCAGATTTTAGTAGTGTTAGGTAGTAGACTCCCCGAATACACCATAGCCGCATTCCCACCCTCCATTTTATGCTCTAAGTCCTGTGATGGAGATTCAAAATGGGCGTCATTGGTGGAGTTTGAAGCGCTCTTTCAGGACTTAGCGTATGAATTGGAGGGTGGGGTTGGGGCTACGGTGTATCGGGGGGTCTATTATCTAAAACTACCAAAATCTGTATAGGTCCATACTGCTGAACGACTGCCTTTGAGAAATTAAAATATTCTCGCAGGGAAGAGGCTCCTCCTCCCTTTTCTTCAAGCATGTGTAGTGAAATTAAGTGATTGGCCTACATGAGTTCTAATAGTGAAATAGATTGCGCAAGTAACTTGTTTTCGATCGTTAATGATTGACAATGAATTTCCAAAAACCTCAGATGTTTAAATAAGCTGCGACACAATCTCAGGTTATAGCCTATTGAAAGAAGTCTGTCGTGCTTTACTCCCCCCCCCCCCTCCCCTCCTGTACGGAAAATTTTCTCGCACGTTACTAGTAGACAACAATTCGAAGTGTGGTCATTTCTGCTCATCACCCTGTCCAGTGCGTACACTCTATGTTATAGTTCAAAGAATGCTTTTTTGCTGTCTAAACGCGGGTATTCGGGACAAAATCTCAGGGATCTTATTGGTTAATAGCAGCATGAACGGGCGAAACCGATTTCTTCCCAACTGATTTGTAAGTAGAAGAAATCCGGGTAGTTGGCGCGCATCCAAGAATTAGAACGATTATTTAACATCATTTTCATTCGTTGAGTCTGGCTCGCAGTTTAGAGATTGAATAGATGCTGACACACCTTCAATAAGGTTTGATGGGTGTCATGTGCTCTTTAGGCATAGGCTCACTCAAAAAAAACAGATGTTAGGCATTTACAGCGAGCAAAATTCTCAGGCTATCCCGATTTTAAGAGTTACAACTTCAAGGTGCTAAATTTATCATGAGAATGCTAAAGAACGATGAATGATCAATGGTTACGAACGATGAACTCAGCGTTAAGCAGAGACGAAGCCGGCAGAATGACCGCGGGAGAGGGCAAAAACGTGTGAGCGGCTAAGTGCATACTCAGTGCGGACATTCCATTACAATGTAGCTAATCGTGTTCATCGCAAAGGATAACTAGTCGAAATGTCCGGAAATGAGGTTTTCAGGGAAGTTTGAAATCGTTTTTGTATTTTGTTTGAAAGGGTGAAGGATTTCATGGTGTTGAAGGGTGTCTGCGCAAGGACTTCGCTAAAAAAACGCTCCGCCTCCAGCGCGAGAGGCAAAATGGCATATAGCCCAAGGCATACTCCTCGCAATTCTGTCAAATCGCTACATCCACGCGACTTGGCGTTTTGCGAGGGGCGGTATGTATCAATCGTCCGTCCGGGTAAGGGTTCCCATTGTAGTATCCTATTCGTAGCTCGGTGTTGTGGAGATCTGTGTTTTCCTGTTTGCCTATAATTTGCAGCTTACTGTCTTAATATATTGACGACCGTGAGACACGTGTGTTAAGGCAGTAAGCTGCAAAATATAGGCAAACAGGAAAACACAGATCTCCACAACACCGAGCTTTGTGTTGAACCCACTCCGGGAGTTTTCTTTTGTGCTGGATCTAGACACAACCTTTACTGTTTTTGCCAGCACTCCATAGTTACTGTAGGTGTACTGTAGATGAAATTGCGCATGATTTTATCTAAAAAATGTTGACCGGTCCGCGAAACGCCTTGGTCGTCAATGTGTTAATACTGTAGAATATTGAATAGCGGCATTTTGTTGTATAAGCTGAGATTTTCGGTATTTTGTATGATCCCGTTCGGGATCCTCAGAGGATCACGGCTCATTTTCAAAGTCAATTGTCTTTGCAAAAACTCAATGGAAACTCGTAAAGTTGCGCTGTTGATCTATCATGACAGTGCGCATTTCTGTGGAAGTATTAAGTGGGAACTGAAGTTGACGGAATGGATGAACCTCTGCCCGCGAGCTGGGGTTTATCAGAAACTCAAAACTTCCAGATTTTATATGTGCTACAAGAAACATGCTTAAAACTGCCATAATGAACCACCAGTATAACTTTACGAAGTCACTGAGTTTTTGCAAAGATAACTTTGAAAATGAGTAGTGATCCCCCTTGAGGATCCTATTCAGGATCATATAAGATAACGAAAATCTCAGCTAATACAGCAAAGTGTAGCTACTCATTATGCTACAATATTAGGGCAGTAAGGCCTCCAAAAGTTGGACAGCCAAGGAAGAACACGGATCCCCGGAGCAGCGAGCTATGAGGACACTATTTGAATGGGACCCTTACCCGGACGGGCGATTGATACATACCGCCCCAGATGACTACAGATTAATCGTGCACTAGTGTCAAATGCGTAGCTTTTGTAAGTTCTCGCAAATGTAGCAAATCTGGTCCAAGCAAAGTGCTTACGAATAATTATGAAGAGTTGTTGCAGTGCCAGATCGCGCAGCGACTGGAATCGCTTGAGGTATGCCTCATGCCAAACAGGCGATACAGGCTCGACGTAGTTGCGTGGTGCAAGAATGGGCGGCTCGCATTTTGCAAAGCCCATGTTGAATCAATCAAAAAGGGAAGTATTTCTGAGGGAAGTTCACCATAGACAATATTTGGTAGATCTAGCCCTATAACAATTTTTCTAATAAGTCAGGCAAGTTTGTATGATGCTTACGAGGCGATGACAGACGATCATACTACAAGAACTTCGGACGATTTTACAGAAAGGCGACAATCACTTCCATGAGCTCAAAGATATTTTTACATACAATTTCGTCCTTTTCCAGCATAACTAATCTTGTCTACAATCACTGCATCAGAACCGGTCCGATGATGTAACAAATCAAATCATCGTGGGAACAATGGAAAATGCAATGCAACACGTATTACTACCACAGGAGAAATTGTCACCTTGATGTCAAATCAGCACAAAAGCAAAGAAGTGGCATTCATGTATCAAAATGGAATTCGGGGCAGATGGTGCCACCACATTATAAGAAGCATGATCGTACACTTTGTACCAGCCTTTTGTACACTCAACTTTTTCACTTGTCGTACAGTTTGTGACTTTTTCACTTGTCGTACAGTTTGTGACATGGATAGACTAATTAGGAAAGGTATGTTTCCGCCAAAGCTATCTCAGTCCAAGACGGTTCTAAAGAGTTATCTACAGTCCATTAGCAGCGTTGATACTATCGCGGTTTTATAATTTTGATTCTCACAAGATTTCGTATTGTGCACGTGTTCTTGGTTTAATATTCATACTATTTCTTTCTTCTTGTTGTTGTTGGCATAGGTTGATCCTATGAAATAAATAAATAAAATAAATAACTTCTATTTAGCCTTAGGCATGTAGTAGGCAGGAGAAATGCGCTCTCCCTTTCCGCTCCATTTTAGAGGATATCGCAGTTATAATGGTCAAAAAAGTTTTTGGGGAAAAAATCTTTCATCTGTTCAAAGAACGTCCGAGTCTTGAAATCTGGCAGTCGATCTTTGCAGAAAAAGTCCGTAGATTAATAAACTTCAAAAACGTATTGAACCACTCCTCTTCATACAAAAACATTTCGCGCCACTCTTTTTTATCGAAAAAGAACTTTTTTGACATCAGCATTTTTCAATGAGTGTTGGAGGGGCATATCACTTTAATCGAAACATTTCCACAAATATACCTACATATTATCAGGACGTTTCCTTGAAAGAAGTGATCCGTTGGTTTGAGCAAACTTGGAGAGGTTACATCGCATCGAACAAGCGGTAGATTCAAAGAGAAGTAGGAAGAGGAGCAGATCAGATGGAATAGAGGAGAAATAAGAAAATACTTTTACAGTGGCTGCATAGAAATTTTCTCGCAGAATTCATCTAAGTATAAGGACGTCAGTCATTTTTCCAAATGAATTTGAAAAGCTTGAGGTTAATGGAGAAATCTAATATGTTTGACAAATATAGTGGCTTGCTTTTCAAAAGGAAAAATGATAGCATTCAAGCTGCACAAATGATAAACACCAAAGGAAAAATAGAGAAAGTGATGGATGATGCCACCCATAAGCGTGCTATACGTGTTCAGTCATTTTTGCAAATGAATTTGAAAAGCTTGAGGTTAATGGAGAAATCTAATATGTTTGACAAATATAGTGGCTTGCTTTTCAAAAGGAAAAATGATAGCATTCAAGCCGCACAAATGATAAACACCAAAGGAAAAATAGAGAAAGTGATGGATGATGCCACCCATAAGCGTGCTATTGGTACGAAACCATTATTTACACTGTAGGCGCACGCTAGTCAGAGTGCATCACCGAAATTCCTTCACTCGTAAAATACAGGTTTTCCGACGGTGAATGAGCCAAACAAATCACGGAGTCGTTGGTGTTTGATTGCCTAGACCAGGAAAAACCGAAACTGCGCTTTAAACGGAGTTATGACCCCTGAGAACGACCAGCCAGATGCACTGCAGAGGTTGTTCACCTTTTGAAAGAAACGACTAGCATTCTGACTCTTTATCTAGCTTTGGAAATCTCTAGAAAATGTAGGGCTATCAAATGACACCGTTTT